TCTATCTATCTGTCTGTCTATCTAACAACCTAAGGATCTTCCTATCCTGGCCTGTCCTATCCTCTCCTGCCCCGTCCCGTCCTATCCCATCCTGTCCTCTTCTATGTCTATGCCTGTTAAGGAAACTTCGGGAATACATATTTTTGGGGAGCTCTGAGCTCCAACAAACAGACCCACAAACAGAGAACCAATACATATTACTGTGCATTGCTCAGGATACGATGTTACTCTGTGTACTTTACGGTCAATGGTGGTGCAAGATGGAACCAACGACCAAGAATGTGTTTGGGCGCGTCTAGAGATGTTTTAGTTTCGTTGGCTTAAGAGGTCTGGGGCATAGGGATTTGGGGTGGTTTGGGGTTCAAGGCTTTGCGGGTCCAAGGTTTGGGCATTTCGGGGTTCGGGATTCAGGGAAAGGACCCAACAGATCGGATGGGCTTTTGCAACGGCAAGGGGTTCCAGTACTGACCTAGTCTATGCAGCTAGTCACAAAGCAGCACGACCGGCTGAACAGCTTGGTCACAGAAATGCTGCAAACTGCTATGATATGGGCTATTACTGAGAAATCGGTTTGAAGTTCTGCATGCCAAAAGATCGAAATGCCGAAGCCCGGACCAAAACCCTAACATCTAGATTGGCAAAATGTCTCAAGACACAAACTGCAGCCCTTCAGCACACCAACCTCCACCTCCAAAGCCTATTAAGCCCCAACGTAGTATAGGGGTCTGTAATATGTAGCGGTCTGAAAAAGTATAAAGGCATCCGTTTACAATCCCGTAGAACATGCGTGCATGTAAGAATATATATGTATATGTATATACAGCTGAGCTATACATATACATATATATATATATATAGGCGTGTAAGCTACATACATGCAATTACTGGTTCATCTGTTTGTTTCTGTATCCAGCTATCTGATTCGATCTATCTATTTACCTAGTTGTCTATTTACCTATCCATTTATCCAACTATTCATGTTTGCGTTTGTTGCTTACAATTTGTGTTTTTTGGGGTTGTGTAGTTGCTTCTATGTTGATTAATCTGTTTCTTTAGCTTTTGTTGTATCGAGTACCGTCAAAGCCTTATTCAAATTCTTAAGGATCCTGTCGTCCCATATTCAATGCTGTCAGGAAGCTCTGGAGAATCATCGGGTTCCTCGGTGGTCTCGTCCTTCTCGCGAGTGCGGCTATCACATCGTACGAATATATTCAGCAAAAGTAACATGAGGAATAGTATCCGCATTCAACCAGGCTCCCACAGTAGAAGTACTGCTGATGTTGCTCCACTGGTGCTAGTGCTACATACTCTTGCTGCATCTAGTGGCTGCTGGTTGCTGGCGGCGACTCGGCAAAAACGACTCGAGACTATCGCCACTGCTGTGACTACCACCGGCCCAGCAGCACTAGGAAACTCTCAACCACACCACCAGGTCTCAACCGCGGAGGCATGCAGAGGCCTCCAAAGTTTCGCTGATGAAGTGCAGGTGGCCTGCAAGCCCAGCGCTCCGATCAAACTAAGATGTGGGTAGTTCTCTAAAGTAGGATCCTATCTTAGGTCCCCCAAATCTTACAGCACCCTTGGAAAAAAGAGACCCTAACGGGGGCCCTAACTTAGTGAAGTTTAGGGCTTAGGCCTTGAGGTTTTAGGGCTTGGAAGTGCAGGGCTTGGGTTGGAAACAATTACGGTTTAGGGTTTAGGGTTTAGGGTTTAGGGTTTAGGGTTAAGGTCTAGGGTTTACGGTTTGGGTAAAACTTTCTCCTTAAGCTCTAGGCCCTGACTCTTGTTGTACTAGGAGAGTCGAACCTTAGAGCTTCGGATTTAGGGTATAAGCCCTCCTACTCAAAATCCTAGATTATAGCAGGATCCTTGAAATGGTTTAAGGTATGTCCCGTAGGGTTTAGGGTTTAGGGCCCTAAACCCTAAACCCTAAAAACCCTAGTAATTCCCTTCTAGGCCCCTTAAAAGAACCCTAAACCCTACCCTAAACCCTAAACCCTAGTAATTCCCTTCCCTTTAGGCTTTAGGGCTCAGGGCGTTTAGGCTTTTAGGCTTTAGGCCTTAGGGCGTTTAGGCTTTTAGGGCTTAGGGCTTTGAGGCTTTTAGGCTTTTAGGCTTTAGGGCTCAGGGCGTTTAGGCTTTTAGGCTTTAGGGCCTTTAGGCTTTTAGGGCTTAGGGCTTTTAGGCGTTTAGGCTTTTAGGCTTTAGGGCATTTAAGCCTTTAGGCTTTTAGGCTTTTAGGGCTTAGGGCTTTTAGGTTTTTAGGCTTTTAGGCTTTAGGGTCTAGGGTTTTTAGGCTTCTAGGGTTCAGGGCTTATGAAGATGGGCACTAGGGGCTCAGTGCCGGCAATCCACACTGAGGTCTCATGGTTGCACTTATACATCCTTTATGGGGGCTTAAGGAGAAACAAATGAACGACTAAACTAACTAAGCAGATGTTGTGTAAATAAATGCACACATCTGTGTATATATATATATATATGTATGTGTGTATACGCATATGGTGTATATATATATATATATATATTTATTTATTTATTTATTTATATTTATTTTTATTTATTTATATATATATATATATAAAAAATATATAAATATATTTCTGTATTAACTATCCACGTACCTCTACATCCGTATTGGAAATGGAGTCTATGGGTACTTAGAGCCTGGTGGTCGAGGGTTGTTGTGCTTGCCACTTACGGTTCGAGCGCTTTGTGGTTATGTGTCGGCCTGAGGATCTACAGGTGTAGGTTTTGGCGAGTGCTTAGATGGTGGGTTCGGAGAGTTCGGCGGTAGCAGGCTTGTGGCTTCAGGGTTGTAGGATATGGGCTCAGAGATGCTTCGAGGCTTCAATCTCACCAGGGGCATTTGCATTTGCGCTTAGGGCTTCTAGCTGCGAAGCCTGACATCTCGACCACAATCTCAAACTGAGGAGCCTGGAAACCGGCTGTCTTGAACACATCATGCTCCACACTGAGACGATGACCCAAACTTTCCCCCNNCCCCCCCCCCCCCCCCCCCAGTTGAACAACTTGTTCAACGAATCGTGCACGAACTTCCCATCAACACCTGAAGGTTGAACCCTGACTCGAAGGTCATTACAGCCAATGTCTCAGACCTTAAACTCTAAACCCCAAACACCTTTTCCCAAATTCCGAACCCTGCAGTCCTACAGGCCCTGACCTGGAACCGTCCGATTTCTGTCAGTGTGGTTAGGGTTTCGGACAACGGCTGCGACGTCGATGGATGCTGAAGCAAAAGCAACCTTACGAAGAACCCTAAGCTCAGAGCCCTGCTTTTCAGAGTGTTGAGGCTTAGGATTCATGATTTCAAGTATCGTAGAACCACAATGTAGGACCCTTGAATCCGAATTAGATCCTTTAGAGAAGAGCACGCTGGTTCTGGGGTGCCTGAGGCATTTTACATCAAGTGGCGGCGTAGCACCCATGGCATTCGCGATCATGAAGCTCATTGAAGGGCCATATGCTTGCTTGAGGACGGCCTGGAAGAACCTTTCAATGTCATGAGTAGCCCTTACAACTTAAGCCCCGAACCGCTCCCTGTGGATACAGCAAGCTACGGTTAAGGGCTCTAGGTGGCCACATCCTACTATTTAGTACTGTGTGAGGCTACAAGTAAATCCTAACAAACCGTTTTGCGCATGTGGAACCAAATCAACGAAAGGAGTTTCAGGTTTCAGTTCTGTTTCGGCGATATCCGAAACAAGCGTACAAGAGGACACGATTGGCAACTAGTTCCATTGTTCCTCCAACCTGACCCACTCCGGACAGTTACTTCCCTTCTACTTGCTAGTGTTAGGCATGTACAAATTGTATAGAAAACTAATCAATGGGCTCCTACTGTTCTCAGGGCTTAGGGTTTGGGGTTGTGTTAAGGCTTCAGGCTCTGATGCCCTTTCGCGGCACGCGCGGGCGTGAAACGGTGACTAGCACAGGGCTTCGAAGGCATATCTTGCAATATTGCACAGCCCAGCTCTATCTGGAGTCTCTGACACTACCGGATTCTTGTTAAGGAGTTCAGTTTAGCTTAAGTTACTATATTCAGGCAACAATTTCTTAATATAGACCCCTATTACGGTAAGTTATATGAAATAAAGTAATCTCCCTAACAAGACTTCCACCATACCCAATGAAGCAGCAGCAAAAGCGTTCCAACACAAAAACTGGCTTTGGAGAGAGTTGAAATTTGCAACAGTATACCTTACAGCCTTTTTGGTTGTACTAGAATTAGCCCAAGCCTGTTCTAATCTATTAAGGCCGCTACAACAGAACCCTTATAGTAACCCCGCAAAGTTCACAAACGGGGCCCTTAAAGAAAGGAGCCCTATTCTAATTTTCAAGGCTCGCAAGCTTGGGACCCGGCTTCCATCGTTTCGGGCTCATGGGAAGATTCGGCAGACTCAGGTCCAGCGTTTCATCCAAGGCCGCTCCCGCTGCAATCAGAGTCGTCACCATTTCTGTCAGGGGGTGAGGGCTTCTGCAAGGTCTTTAGGGTTTATGGAGTTTAGGGATTCCGTGTGGCGAAGGGCGGACTTGTGAAAGACCACGTGCTGGCGATGAGGCAGAACAGAAGCGACCCTGATGTAATGTAGACAGCTGGTTGATAAACGCCCCTCTCCCAAACCCCTAAGACAAGGATCTCCGTTAGTTATGGGGACAGGGATCCATAAAGCGGGAGTCTACATTCATCCAAGGGCCCCCGATTCACGACACCCGTAACCCGTATTCCTTGTGCTCTTTTGTAGGACCTTGGATCTCTGCATTTGGGAACAGTCTCGGAAGCTCGGATCGACGGCGCCGGGCTTCGGGCTTCAGTTTTGGGTTTAGGGTTTAGGGTCTAGTAGTAGGGTTTAGGGTTTAGGGTTTAGGGTTTAGGGTTTAGGGTTTAGAGCGCTTGGCCCTGGAAGTACCAGAACTCGAGAGACTTAACCCTGGTCAGTCCTACAGATGATCCTTCGCCGAGGACTGCCACGTGCCTGCGACCATGGATGCTTCCGTAGCACAAGCTGGCTTGGGGCACAGTGAGGGTCGATGGGTCTCTTTCTGGCCGCATGTGGAGAACTACCTATAGTCTCCATTGTAGTTCCTTTTTGGGGATACCTTATAGAATCCGTAATGTATAACTGGTCAAACCAAAAAAGGGAACTACAATGGAGACTATAGGTACCCAAAAAAGGCTCGTTGACAAGTTGGAGGCTCCGATCGACAAGCCACCATGTATGATTAGCATTTTGGGGTACCCTAAATAATAGGTGTCGTATCATAATATCGACCCAAAAAGGGACCATAATTTTGACAACCACCCATGTATGATCAGCATGAGCTATCAAGTAGAATCCACGCTTCGTTTGTAAATCAGGTGTCTGCATTATCCCGACAAGCCCCTTGGCGCACAATGTAGAAAGCTATTGAAGATACCTGCAGCTTCAAACCCCGCTGCAAAAACTGCAGAAACACGAATGGAATGGGACCAGAAATTTCGGGCCGCTGTGATTCTACATAGTCGAACCGGCGAACCCAGGGGAATCCTGATTTTAGGATTTAGGGTTTAGGGTTATCTAATTGGGCTCAAGCGTGCTTTTGTTAAAACCCCAAAACCCAAACCCTAAACCCTAGATCCAGGGGTTGGTCCCATCGACGGACTCCGCGAATTCTGGGCTCCCTGAGGCTTTGGCCGTAAAGTGAAGCCCAGAAAGTTGGAACATGGGTTTAGGATGATTTGTGCTAGGATCCCTATACTTTACCTTACGACAATGAGGGGATGATCATGTTCCAACTTTATGATGGCTTCTACTACAAGGCAGTTAGGGTTTTAGGGTGTAGGGTCTAGGCTCTAGGGTCCTTCGGGCTTTTAGGGTTTAGGGGTTTAGGGTTGTGGCAAAAATCCAAAACCTCAGCGCAGACTCCGTGCAACACGAGGCACAGGCACCACCGGAACTCCTGCAACGGGCTGTGCTCCATGATCGCATGGATGCCTCGAGAGCACAGGATGTGATATGCGACGTGGACGTAGAGCTGCTGCTGCACCCAAAGAGCCCAGTACGCCCGTACTTCCTACAGCACAAGTACCTGGTGCCCTGGATCATCCCGCATAAATGAAGGTATAAACATTACAAGAACGGCTCATTTCTAAAGTTATGTGCACAATGGGACCTTCGCCCTAAACCGTAAGCCCTATGGCAATATCTGCAAGCCTGAGTTGCTGAGTTAGGGTTCAGGGCCCAGGGGCATGATGAAAGCTGCGATTGCAAAATCCAAAGCCTATGAAGAAGGCTTTATAAGATCCTGATAGCAAAGGAAGCCTTAGTGAGGAACCCGTTCGAACTTGTACATCCCACCTCCTGCCGAGCCCTTTTCGAAGCTCTTTGCCGCACAAAGCAGCCCATGTAGAACCCATGTAGAAACTTGTGGTAGAACCTTCAAAATAAGCCCGCCCTAACGTCAATTACAAAGCGTCTGTAACGCCCTGAAATAGAACCTGTAAACCCCCACGAAGCCCAACAAGCTACTCGAAACAATGGACCGTGATCAACGCCCCAATAAATCCCTGAATGCCCTAAAACCCTAATGTGCTGAAATTACATTTGAAAATATTTGCAACAAAACAATTTAGATGTAATACAATAGAAAAGCCCCCAAGCATGAACCTTGAACCCTAAACTAAACTCTAAACCTTAAACTCTTGAACACCCAAACCCCAAAACCCTCAAATCCCTAAAACCAACCCCAAAAACCCTACATAAACCGCTCTAGATCCCTTGCAGCACCCTTAAAAGGAACCCTAAAACCAAAACCCAAAACCCTATAAACCCTAAACCCTAAACCCTATAAGCCCTAAACCCCTAAACCCTATAAACCCTATAAACCCTATAAACCCCTATAAACCCTAAAACCAAAACCCTAAAACCCTAAACACTACTATACCCTTTACAGCAGGCCTCGTACACAGCAGCCCGGTCCCCAGCACACTCGC